AATAGAACTCCCTTGCTGGCAGGAACCCTTGTGAGAGGCAGACCCTGAGCCCTGGCTCTGTGGTGGTGGGGCCGGGTGGCAGCTGGAACAGGGTCCCTGGAGTGGCATGTGGTTCCCAGCTGCAGCAGAGGTTGCTGCTGAGCTGAAGGGTCACACAAGTACATGACGTGCTTGAAGCCACATCTCTGGCAGAGAGGAGAGGAGAACAGTTGCTCTTAGGAAAACTCACAGTGTCCCTTCTCTCCTGCCGGAGAGAGCTACTGGAGGCTGATTGGACTCTCAGCAAAACTGTCACTGGATTTCAGATAAAAGGAAGCAAGCCCTTCCTTCCCCACTGTGAACCTGTGCACAGAGCCAGCTTCAATAAAACTCATCTTCAGCAGTGAGCAGTAAAGGTCACTCCACACATTTGTGTAAGAGCAAAGGAGAAAAAGAAGAAAAACAAATGGCAGAAAATCTTTCACAGAAAAACAGTTGACACTGAGCAGATGAAAATTGTATCCAGACATTTTGTCAAGAAATAAACGTTAATGAGGCAGTAGAGTCTGCAAGGCTTCCGTGGAAACGCACATGCTCCAAGAAGAGATGGTGAGACTGGCAGGTGCATGAGATGGGACCTGGAAGATCAAAGGGCAGGAAGCGGGTAGCATGGGAAGGAAGGTGACCAGAAGAAGCACAGGGAGGTGAATCATGGGAAAAACTATGGAAAAGAACCCCAGTAGCAAGAGTTCCATCTCCTGAACTGGAAGATGAAATGAATGTGGAAGTGGGAAATGTAACTGCCACATGTCAGAGATTCAAAAAGAACTGTCAAGATGACAGAGGGAGGAGACAACACGAGGATGACATCCTTACCATTGAGAGTCAAAGACAAAGGCACACCATCTAAAGACAGCATCAGGTAGGGAGAGTAGATGGAGCTGCATATTAGGTTCGCTAGAGAGCCAGAGGCAGTAGACTGGTCCATCCAGAGAGATTGATGTGAGGACCTGGCTTGTGGTGATGGAGGCTGGGAAGCCCATGGTCTGCATCTGCACAGGGGTGGCCTGGAAGAGTCCAGGTATGAGTCAGTCCAGCTCTGCAGGCCTAAGAACCAGTGCAGCCTGGGGCAGAGAACAGAAGCTGCCCTGGCTCAGGCCACCAGGCAGTCAAGGGGGAACACTCGCCCCCTCCAATTTTCATTCCTTTGGGCCCTCAAGGGGTTGGAGGAGGCCTGCCCATGCTGTGGAGGGCAGTCCGTTGAGTTCCTGATTCCAGTGCTGATCTCATCCAGAAACCCTCCCATACACACCCAGAAAGTGTTTTGATCTGAGTGCCCTAGGTCCCGTCCAGTGGACACATGAGATGAACCATCACAGACCGTATAAAGTGAAACAGTAAGGGTCATATATCTGACTAGTCAGGCACTCAACATAGGAGATACAAGAGGTACTGTCTAACAGCAAAGTATAGATGTGAAGCAAAGCTGAATTATAAAAGCAGTCAGAATAAAACATGCACACTTTTCTAAGCCTTGAATTACATGTAAAAAAGTAAACCAGATTAAAAAGGCCACAGAATGACATAGATGTAAAAGCTATAAAATTGAAAGCATAACAACATAATACAACAGAACTAGAAATCGTTATATAGCTAAACTCTCCTATGAAAAGGAAAGGACTTCCTGATTGGATTGCAAAGCAAAACCAAACATGTTGGAAAATATGGGAAGCAAAGGCATTCTGGTGAGGTGAACCTGGAAGGCAGGAGCTATGCTCTCAATGTAGCGTGAGTTCAGGCTGGAAGCCTCTCAGAAACAAAGGTGGGCACTCTTCAGAGTGAGGTGTGGATGGATTAGCCAAATAACACATCATGGCTGTTGGGAAGAGCAAAGATGAGGAGAGAGTCAAGGGGAGATTGTCAAAGATGCCAGTAGCAGAATTTATTTTACACCCTAATCTGTAGTATATCAAGTGGGCAAAGAATAATGGAAAAACAGAAAAATATATGTATGTCTAAAACTCCTCTCTCCCAAATTAGAGAATATACTCGTGTTAAAGAGAAAGCATAGAACACAACATTCACAAAGATTATATATCAGTAATAGAGAAAGCCTTTATAAATTAAAATAAGTAGAACTAATACAGCCTTCTGTGATTGCAGTGTGGTAAAATGTGAAATCAAGAACAAAACCAGAAAAGAAACCTCCCAACACTTGGAAATTAAAAAACAAAACCCAAACAGAACAAAACACTGTCTTAAACAATTCTTGGTTCAAAGAAGTACAATTCAAAAGTGCATAAAATCTGAAAAATAATTGTCACAAAAACATTTGTCATCAGAGCCTGTGGGAAACATCTAAATTCACAAGTTTAAGTATTTGTATCATTGAACAAGAAAGCATGTAAGTATATGGACTAGAGCTTCACCCCCAGAAGTCAGAGAATGAAAGGAAATAAACTGTGGTAAAACTAAAAGGTAGGAATTTTTAAAGATTAAGCAGAAGTTAATAGGAAAGTGAAAAATGGTAGAAATAATAAATAAATTCAAATACCTATTATTTGAAATAAAGCTAATAAAACATGAATTATTCACAGTTCTAATGAAAAATTGATAGGCAGTATCACCATCCCAAATAAGAAACAAGACTAATTGCCTGGAGTTATTGACTGAGCAGGAGCATGAGAGAGCTTTCGGGTGTGCTGAGAATGCTGTGTCTTGATCTGGATGGTGGATACATAGGTGTAGATATGTATAAAAAGTCATCAAGCTGTGCCCATAAGATTCAGCACTTTACTGCATGTAAATTTTATGTATCTGAATGGTAAAATAAAAGCAAAAGTTAAAAAGTTGAAAAGAATAATGAGTTCTATCTGAATCCTATAAAAATTATTATATTAATTAATTAATATCTCAATTCCATTTGCAAATTTAAAAATATGTAGGAAATGAATAACTTTTTAGGGAAATGTTATTTATCAATCCCAACCCCAAAAGAGAGACATTTCAAACAGACCAATTATTGCAGAAAAAAGTTGTCCCAAAGTTGCCAGGGCTGCTCTCCCCGACCACAAAAGGGAAGAGACAGAAAATGCATCAGGCCAAGCCAGTGTCATGGGAAATTCTACCAGATCTTCAAAGTGCAGATACTTTCAACACTGTGTAAACCGTTTCAGACTGTGGGAAAAGGAGGGAAGGCATTCTGGAAGTGAGTATCGTGTTGACACCAACAACTGCAAAGGTCTCACATGCCAGTGTCTGTGTGTGTGTGCATGCATGTGCACGCACATACATGTATTGGTGTCAGTGTTAACGTGTCAGGAGAAATTCAGCAGCTTGTTAAAACACACCATATGCAGTAGGATTTATTGCAGGACCAGTCTGTTAGCTTGATTTTAGGATATCAATTTATAGAATAGCCTTTTCATATTTGCTGAAAAGGCAGGTTACAAAATCCAACATTCAGCTTTGATGAAAAACTCTTAATAAAGTATGAACATATGGGTAATTTCTCAGCATAATAGAAAATACCTGTTTCAAGCAAAAGGTGATGTACTCTAAATAAGAAAGTATTAGCTTCAGCTTCAGTGAAGTCACAGACCACTTAAGGATGTCCAGCATTACAACTGTGATTTAACATTATTCTGGAGATACTAGTCATCCAGATTAGACAAGAGAAAGAAACCAGAGGTATAAATATTGGGAAAGAGGAGGAAAATTGGAAAATTGTTGCTCTTTGCTGCTGATATGACTGTGTGCCAAAAGAATCAACTGAAAACTGCTGTAGTCAATTGGAATTTAGGGAATGGGGTGGGAAACAAAAATGTAAAATCATGTATACAAAGATAAGTTACAAAATAGAAGAAAAGGCAGGCACCATGGCTTATGCCTGTTAATTCTAGCACTTTGGTAGGCCAAGGCAGGCGGATCACCTGAGGTCAGGAGTTTGAGACTAGCCTGGCCAACATGGTGAAACACTGTCTCTACCAAAAATACAAAAATTAACCAGATGTGGTGGTGGGTGCCTGTAATCCCAGCTACTAGGGAGGCTGAGGCATGAGAACCACTTCAACCCAGGAGCTGCAGTGAGCCAAGATGACACCATTGCACTCCAGCCTGGGCAATAGAGCAAGACTGACACTCTCTCCTCCCCCCCCCGTGTGTGTGTGTGTGTGTTTAGTGGAAAAAGCAAGGTACCAAATGATGTGTAGGACATCTTACCATTTTTGTTAAAAAAAAAAAAAAAGATGAAGTGGGTAGGAGGAAAAACATAGACATGCTGCTGGCATGTGTGCATGTGCACCAGCAGCCTACGGAAGGAACATATACTCAAACATCAGAACGCTGGTTGGCTGAGAGTTGGGGGTGAGTGGCTGGGTTGGAAGTTGGGGAGAGGCTGCTCAGGGCATGGCCTTCCATGTTTGTTGTCTGGACTATAGATCTATCTTATTAATGGACGCATGATAATCGTAGATATTTATGGAGTACATAGTGATGATTTAGAACATGTAATATATAGATTAGATCAGGGTAATTGGCATATCCCACCCCCTTGCACACTGCACACCTTTCCCTCCAGTGCCTGTTTTCCCAGCCCCTATTATGCCTCAGCCCAGTGGGTGTTGTGCCCCTTGAGTCATCCTTCACTGCGGTCTGGCAGGCTTTGCAGCCTCACTGATGGGGGCCTCTGGCTGCTCTGGTCCCTGCTGGCACCTGTCCTCCCCTCCCTGGGTCCATGCTGCCCTTCTTCCTCCCTTCATGATGGGGTGAGCCAGGCTTTGGAGCAGGAGACAGAAGCACCAAAAAAGTGAGAGAACTTGAGTTTGCAAAGTTAGAGTGCATCTCTCCTGAAGCTCCCAGCCCAGGGCGGGGGTACTGCCAGGGTGTGGTCTCAGGGCCTGGACTGGGTGCTACCAGGAGGTGGTCTCAGGGCCTGGGCTGGGTGCAGCAAGGGGTGGAGCTTCCCCTCATGCCTGGGGCCGCCTGCATGTGCTGACCCTCTGTCCTTTGCTTTCTTCTAGCTGGAGATGGAGCTGAAGATGCTAAAGTCTCAGTCCAGCTCTCCCGAGCAAAGCTTCCTGTTCTCCAGGGAGGAGGTGGACATGCTCAGGTATGTCTCCCAGGGAGGAGGTGGGCACGCTCAGGTGTGTCTCCTGGGGAGGAGGTGGGCATGCTCAGGTGTGTCTTCTGGGGAGGAGGCGGGCATGCTCAGGTGTGTCCCCCAGTAGGGAGGTATGCATGCTCAGGTGTGTCTCCTGGGGAGGAGGTGGGCATGCTCAGGTGTGTCCCCCAGTAGGGAGGTATGCATGCTCAGGTGTGTCTCCTGGGGAGGAGGTGGGCATGCTCAGGTGTATCCCCCAGCAGTGAGGTGCGCATGCTCAGGTGTGCCCTCTCCAGAGGAGGGGAGTGTGGGAGACACGTCCATTGCTGGCCTCCTGTCCCCTTGCTCCAGCCTGAGGCCTTCTCTGGGCGCTCCCCTGTTGGTGACTGGAGTTAATTTGCTCCTCTGCTGCCTTCCTGTAAGGGCTTTTTTTAATGTCACTTCCCACTCGCATAGGTTCCTCTCTGCAAAGACACTCATCTCTGGTGGTATGGGCCTTTATTCAGCAGCGTCTTTCCAGCCAGCGCTGACAGCAGGGGCCTCTCAGTGTCCCTGACGCTCAGAAGGGAGTGGGTCCTCTGTCGCGGGGTCGAACTAGAGCTGGGTCTGCAGCCTCAGGGGCTGCACGACAGTGCTGTACCAAGAGGGCTGCACTGGTTTAGAACAGCCCAGGCAGTGCAGCAGCCAGGCATATCCAGCAGCCCTTGAGCCATGCTTCCAACACGCTGCTGACTCTCTGTCACCGGGCTGTCCGGGGCACCCTCACCCTAGCTCCTGCTTGCACACAGTGCCCCTAGAGCAGGGGCAGCAGGCCAGGCTGCTTTTCTGGAGCTCACTTCCTCTCCCCCTGCCTTGTGGACCCATCAGGATCCTCAGGCAAGAGGTCTCCAGGGAGACACAGCTGGAACTCCTGACTCTGCTTTGGTGCCTATGTTGGTGCTGCCACTTCCAGTGTGGATTGAAAGTGGCTGTGGGCAACCCAAGTGTCATGCCAGAATCCCTTGTAGCAGGTGGTGGCTGTGGGCACAGGGTGGTGTCAGGAGGCCCATAGCTTACCTGTATTGGCCACTCCTCTGCTCTGAGTGTCTGCAGCAGGCCAGGCCCTGGGCATCCAGGCTTTCTCCTGGTGGTCAGAGGAACTGAGAACAGGGTACCGAGACAGCTCCAGGGGACATCAAGCTGCCCTGCAGTGAGATGAGGGTGGTGGTGGTGGGGAGAGAGCACCCTCCCCCTGCCACACACCTTTGGTGTGGGCCCCTGGGCCCCACTGTGGCAGCGGCCTCTGCTGCGTCACACCCACTCGCTGGGGTTCCGGTTTTCACCCATGGATGACCCCTCTTTCTCAGGGTTGCCATGAGTAAAGCAGGAAAAGGGATGCCTTTCGTCCAGCGCTGGCCCAGGAAGTGCTCTTCACATGGCCACTGTGATCCCTTCTAGATTTGAGGTTCCTCCAGTGTCTCTGAAGCCTTCCTCATGCACAGGCTGTGCCTTACAAATCGCCCTCTCTGGGACCCACCGAATTCTGAGTGGTTTGGTTTGTGTCCATTCAGCTGTTCAAGTGTTCAGATACTGAGTGTGTGCTGTGGGCCTCCTCAGGGCCGAGTACGGAGACAGGTGGAGTGATGAGTGGGCACCAGTGCACCCTCTGTCTTCATTAGTGTCTTCCGTGTCTTGAGGACCTGGGGGACATTCTTCATGTAGAGGCATGGCTGTATCATCGCAGCCTGTAAGGTGCACGCGGTGCCATGACAGTCGGTGTCTGCTGGACAGGAGTGCATCTCCATGCATCTTCGAGTTGGTGGTGGGGAATCTGTGTGTGAGGGTCAGTGTGGTGGGAGAAGCTGGAGATGGGGCATGGTGAGCATGCAGTCTCTTTCTTAGGCGGATGGGAGGCACTCAAGGCTGTAAAGTAGAAGAGTGTGGCTGGAAGGCAGCATGGCTGCTGGGCTGGGGAGGGGAGGAGGAGAGTGGCAGAGAGGCTGGCCCCACCACCTGCTTGTCAGGCATTGGCGCTGGGAGCCCCTCTGAAGCTGGAATTGGCTTTTCCCGTGCAGGGATGAACAAAACATGCCTCCCACACACCCCAACTTGCAGGAGCAGCCCTGCCTGGTGAGGAAGACCCTTTCCACACAGAGCAGCAGGCCTTGGGGCCTCAGAGAGGGGGTAGCGTTTATCCAGATGGAAGAAATGGCCCAGAAGTGCACTCCAGGCAGGTCAGGAGCTTGCCAAGACTAAGGTTGGATGAAGTGTCAGACAGGCTTCAATGGGTATCTGCTGGGAGAGGGGGAGCTGGGGCCAGCAGCAGAGGCCATGCCTTGTCATCATGAAGAAGGGCCTCTGGAGAGCAGGCACAGCAAGAGAGGCTGTGTGTGGCAGTGTCTGAAAGTGCTGGGCTGTTGTGGCTGGTACCTCACCCTGCAGGGTCTGGAATGCCTCATGAGGCAGGCTGGTCCTGTTTTCTTAAATTTTTACAATTTAAGAAAAGGCTTAAATTTGGGGAGTTGTAGCTGTGGCTTCCAGCATCAGCGGAGGGTGTGGGAAGGTCAGCTTGCCTCGGCCCCTGGCTGCCCACGCAGGAGCCCATATTGTGCCACATGGCTCCACTCTCAGAGATGGCATTCTGCTTTCTGCTGGGCCTTTTGGCACCTAAAGTGTTTCGTTCTGCCGTTGATGGGAGTGTGGCCAGGCATGTGTCAGATTTGTGTGAGCCAGCATGCTTAGGGTTTCTTTATTTTTACAATTTAAGAAAAGGCCTTTGTCATTGATATCTTTTACATCAAAGTCAAAGCTTCTCGTCCCCACCTTCTTGTTTGGAAAAAGCAGCTGTGCCAAGAACGGCCTCTGTGGCTAACTCATGGGAATCAGGACAGCGTGTTTTTGTGTAGAGGGCTGTGCTGGGAGATGCCAGCAGATCACCCTCACCTCTCAGCACAGCCTTCTCTCCAGAGCAGCAGCTGAGAGCCTGGGGCTGGGCCTACAACACATACTGCCCACTCTTGCCGGCCTGCCAGGCCTCGTCCAGGCCAAGCAGCAGCTGTGGTCAGGATTTGGGAGCCAGTGGATCTGGGAGGACCTGGGAGAGGGCCTTGGAGTGTGCGGTGACAGGGAAGCTGGGTGATGCGGGCGCTTTTGCAAAGGACTCAGTCAGGCCCAGTGGTCGGGGGGAGGGATGTTTGGAGCCTGGGCTGTCTCCCTGAGCCTCAGGAGAGAGGTGGCTCGACTGACCATGCAGACAAGGTCTTCTGCCCAGCCAGGGCACAGGCCAGGCTGTTTTGCTTTTTGTACTCAGCACATGTCCTTCCAAGCTTGCTCTTCCACAGCTCCTCCTTCCTGCAGCTTCCCTGCCCCTTCCCCACTCAGCCTCGGCAGGGGTGGCCTGCCCTCCCACCCCCACCCCCACCACGCCAGGCTCTTGGCAGGTGCAGTGTTTTCAGGGTCTCGTTGCCATGCCTCAGTTTCCTGTCGTAGCTTCAGTTTCTCAGGCGTCAGTGTTCTCAGGGTCAGTTTCCTGTTGTAGCCCGCAGCAGGATTGGTGCACCTCAGGGAAGCATCCACATTTGCAGCTCACTGTTGTCCTGAGTGTGGGCACATGTGTCACGGCTTGTGCTTAATTTTCCTGGGACCATGGCAGGCAGCTCGTCTGGCATGTGGGTGGGACAACAGGGGCCCTGGCAGGCTGCAGACCCCTCCCCTGAGGAAAGTGTCTTGGACACCAGGCAGACACGGCCACCCCACTCCCCAGAGAGGAGACACTACAGTGCTGAGGCCAGAGGCCTTCCTGTCATCTTCCTCTCCGCACAGCTCTTGAAGGCTGAGGAGTGAGTGGGGAGATGAGAAAGGCTTCCTGCCTTGGATGGAACCCATTTCTCCTTTTAATCTCTGCTCCTCCTGAGTGTGAAGTGCTTTTCCTGCAGGCCTTTCATGAAAGGTGCAGAGGCACATTTTCTAAAGTGGTTGGTTCAGAGGAAGACATCACAGATACCTGTGGCCCTGCTGATGTGTGGGTCACATACCACATGGCAGCAGGACCCCCCAACCCTGTGCAGCTGCCCCGCCCTCGGCAACCATGGGCTGATGGCCAGCAGAGGGGCCCGGTGGGTGTCAGGGACGGTGCTGCGTCCCACCTCCCACCCTGACTGCCTAGGAGAACCAGGGATGATCCTCACACTCACACAGGCATAGCCACATGTATGTACGCCTGCTCATGCACATGTGCACACTCACATTTTCACATCCACATATTTGTTGTATACGAATGACATGTATCACATCACATTGTTTTTTAGCACAGAAGCTAGCAGAAGCATCAGTGAGGATTTTTAAGAGGCAGCAGCTAAGGAGCCCTTTCAGCCGGAACAAATCTGAGCTTGTCCTCTCTGCTGTCAAATAGCAGCTCTAGCAAATCCTAAATGTTGCCTGTGGATTCAGCAACTGGTTAGATGCTCACTCATTCCAGAGGCTCTCCTGTCTGTGCCTGCGCCTGTTAGTCACACTCGGGCCTCCTTCCCAGCTGTATGATGCCTTCTGGGTCCTGGGAGGTGCTGGGGGCCCTGGAGACACCAGCCTGCCTCAGAGGATTCGAAGTACCCCGTGACCCCACTCATCCCAGGATCCCCACTCCTCAGGACACACAGTGCTCTTTGATCTCCACTCACACACCAGACACCCAATGTCCAGACCCACATCCTTTGCAGAGGGCTAGAGTGTGTGGGCAACCACGAGCTAGGCTTTTAATGTTCTTTTGTAGAAATTACCACCTTTCATCCATCAAATCACCATTAAACACAGTTGCTCTAAGTCTGCTCATGAAGCCCCATGTAGGTAAGCAAAAAGACAGTCCCTGCCTGCGGAGCTTCCAGGCCAGTGGGTTGATTTTAGAGCTCACCGTGCCCAGCCTCCATCACCAGGGAGCATTCATCCCCTGGGAAAGGGGAACACTTTCCCCTGGTTCTGTGCTGTTCTGAAGCTGTTCCTGCCCCCCACTGTGGGAAGCCTGCTCCCTGGGCGGG